TGCCTTTGAATCCCTCTAGTGATTTTTTTTTTTTGTGGTTACTGTACTTTTAAGCTCCAGATTTTTTTTATGTTTTTCTCTCTGTATTGATAATTCCGTTTTGTTCAGTCTGAGGTGTGTCTTTTTTTTTTTTTGAGGGCCTTAATTTTCCCTGTATGTGCAGTTGTTCTTTAATGTCCTAGTCTTTTTTAAAATAATTTTTATTGATTTCAGAGAGGAAGAGAGAGGGAGAGGGAGATAGAAACATCAATGATGAGAGAGAATCATTGATCGGCTGCTTCCTTCATGCTCTCCCTCCCCCTGATCAAGTCTGCAACCTAGGCATGTGCCCTGACCTGGAATCAAACTGTGACCTCCTGGTTCACGGGTCAATGCTCAACCACTGAGCCACACCAGTCAGGCTTTAATGTCCTAGCCTTAATGAAGGGTGGAAGGGTGTTGATCCTTTAACTCTCCTGGAAGTCACTTCAGCTAAAAAAAATGAGGGGCTTATAAAAAGGAAGCAAGGTACAACAAGAATGGCCATCCTTCTCTTTGTCAGTACTTCCTTGACCAGCGGCATCAATCAGCAATCAGAGCACAGACCCCTGACACTTGGAGGACAGGGCCCTTATTGCCAATCCTGGTTCCTGCAAGCTGTGTGCAGGCTACTCCGGGAATGGGTGCAGGGCTTCCGCCACAGGGCTGGGAGTGGGGACGGTAGCTGTTACTATGGGCTAAGAGCTGAAATTGACCAAAATTAACCACAATTTACAAGTTACTGTCAAGCTTCCCCTGAAGTTGCAAGCCTTCAAGGATTCCCAAATAGTTCCATCAGACAGATTCTGCCAATGCAATCAGTTTACATGATGAGACAGATTCCTGGTTCTTCCTAAACCACCATCTTCCCAGAATCATCCCATGATTTGTTCTAAAGAATGAAGATGATCTAGAACTGTACTGACCAAAAGATTTTCTCAAGCCATAAAAAGGCTTCAAGTTCCATTGAGTGTTTCGCATTTAAATACTTATTTCTATATATACTTATTTACGGAAACACTTTTAATTAAATTCTAAAGCTACTAGAGTAATAAAACATTCACAGCAGTAAATAATGATTTTGAGTCACTAATTAGGAATTTATAAGGAATGTCTTGAACTTGAATTTGAGGACCTTGTAAGCCTTCTTTTCCTCAGCGTAGATGTCATATTTGAAGTTAGCAAATGAAGCGATGGCCCCTGAAAACAACGCCACCACCGAGCCCAAGTATTGACAGCAAAAGATATCATGATTTCTATGCATTGGATGCTCAAAATGAGAAGGGACATTCTTTTATGAGATTGGTAACAATATCAGAACGCTAGTTTAAAAGTCATGAAATTGATAACTAAAGTTAAAAATGCCTCACACAAACGCCGAGTTGCTCTTTTTATCTACCTGCATGAAAATTATTCACAGCCTAACTGGGACCACCCCAGGCAGAGGAAACAGAAAAGAGCCCCCCATCACATGATACTATTAGCAGACATGCGGATGGCATTTCGTATAATGGAGACACACACTAATCCAGACATTTATCAATTGACCAATGTAACTGCAAATATGCATAACTGTCCGTTCATGGTGCTAATTAGAAGGCTCCACAAGCAAAGTGCCAAATCAAACTACTGCAGATGAATTGTTTGAGGTAATAAATAAAGATTTTTCAAAATGAAATATAATGGGCCCTGGCTGATGTGGCTCAGTTGCTTAAGCATCGTACCATGAACCAAAAGGGCACCACTTCGATTCCTGGCCAGGGCACATGCCGGGGTCGCAGGCTCCATCCCTAGTGTAGGGGGTATAGGAGGCAGCCGATCCATGTTTCTCAATCACATTGATGTTTTTCTCTCTCCTTCTCCCTTTCTCTCTCTACAATCAATAAAAAACATTTTTTTAAAGAAATATGATGGGAACATTGCAAGTGTTTGTGCACTCATGATTTTGCTTCCATGTCAGGAAGGTAGAAAGGCCCTATATGGTATGACTTTTATCCAAAATCTTGAGATTCAAATTACACATGCTGTTTTAGTTAGAGAGAAGCTCTCATATGTAAATGTTTGTCTATAGTTCTAAATTGCTCATTGAAGGATGAAACCAAAATGGGAAAATATAACAAAACACAAGCTCTTGGAGTCCACCTGATTTCAGCTTTCAGTGACGCATGTGATTAGATTTGGTTTTTCATACCAAAGAGTGTTGGCATTCAAAGTAAGAGTCGTCAAGAACATGTGCAAACCGAGACCCAAAGAAATGCAGTATTTGCCCAAGATCACATGGTGATTAAAAGCCAGAGCCCTCTAGCACCCAGCCAGGGCCTTTTACAGGGTGAAAGGCTGTGTTAGCCACTGTCCCCACTCAGGGGCTTCCAAGCTGCTTCCTCTCAGCAGCCCAGCCCCATACTTCCCCGTGTAGTGTCAGGGATTGTGCCTTCACCCCACTCTCACCGCTGGGTGTCTAAGACCCCATGAGGGAAGGAGAGCAGGGTGCAGGGACGGACCTCACACCTGACCATCCTTCTGCACAACTGCTGTGTAAAGCTGGTGGCTGGGGAATGAAGCTTGGATGATGAATGATGCTCACTCAAGGGTGGGCACCGGCTTGGTTCCCAGCTGTCTCCTGGGTGCTCACACCACGCCCACAAGGCCCCTCCTGGTGGCCCCAAGGGAACTCTCCTCCCCCTGGCTTCAATGACCATCTGTCCCCTTCGAACCCCCACCTCACTAGGCTCTGGAACCTCTCCTCACTCCACTATGGCCCCGTCCTCTCCAGGTTGCAGAGGGTGTGGGCTTGTGAAATGCAAGGCCAGGAAGAAGCCTTCTTTCCTCTGCTTTCCACAAAAGGGGATGGGGGTAATAATAAAGGATGGGGCATGGGGCAGGATCGAGTCAATATCTCAGACATTATCCTGCCACAAAGCGCTTGAGGGTCTTCAGCACACGGCCACCAATACTGTTCTATTGGACCAATATTCAAGCAATAACATGTTTGCTTGTACACATTCTGACACGTTAAAATTCATGTCCTGACAGTATTCCTACCTAACGGGAAGTCACGACCGTGGGCCCTTCCTCAGTCTTCACGAGTGTAAAAATTCACTCTCACAATATTTAAAGGCTGTTGCCAGGCCTCGGCGCCATCTGCCCCTCCAGGGGTGTTGGGTGGAGTCTCTGCCCGAGTCAGTCCTCAGGCATCTGCAAACCCAGCGGCCACCTCAAAAGGCCTGTTAACTGACTTACTGAGAACGACTTTTCTAATTTTTAAAATACAATCCCCACTGCGGCATGGACCTTCAACTGTGCCCACTTACTGTGCAAACATTCCTTCCCACTTGCACTCCACGTGAGTGAGGGAGGGTGGGAGGGATTCTTTAAATCCCTAGTAAATGCCGAGCTGGGAACTGTCCCAGGAAAGTCCCCGGGCAGGGCCAGCTGCCCCGCTCCCTCCGGAGGTTTGTGCACCTGCATGACTATGAAGTCTCCTGTGGGTCTAAACCCTGGCAGCTTGTGGAAACCCACCCGAGCGCAGCATGAGGACGCAGGGCTGCCTTTCCTCACCAACGCACAGTAGAAAGCTGAGTTCTCTGCCATCTTTCAGGGGAGGCGCCCTCTGGTCTGCTGCCACCCAAACCTGCCTGTGCCCCCACTGTGCTGAGCTGGCAGGTCCTGGACATTTCATAGCGAGGGCAACACACCCATTCTCCACACTCAGAGCCATCACTTCGGTCACCAGACATCTCTGGCTGCTGGCACAAAACCCACCTATTTCTTTAAAAAAAAAAAAAAAAAAAAGACCTTGGCTTAGTTCATCAAAGGAGGGGATAAGGGGCCTGGACTAGGCTTGGCCTAGGAAACATGCAGAGACAAATGCTTTTTAACACCAAGAGGCTTACGGTGGGACAGGCTGGCCAACTCGGTGTCAGTGAGGGAGCCGACGTTGGACAATAATCACCTCGGGAGGCAGAGGCAGCAGATGCTGCAAACACCTTCCATGTAAGGCTGTTGGCTGCCCAGCTGGGGCTGGCTGGAAGTCAGGGTGCTGATGCCAAGAATATTTAACTTAATTTCCCCCCATGTAAGCGCTGTGTGAACCCTTTAATCCAGGGGGCCCGTTTCTCTGGAAGAGTCATAATCATGAGAATTTACCTTGTACACGAACGTTCCAGTTGCCTTCCTTACCCCGTTATTCTCCTGAATATCCCAGAGACCGCTGACTATTCTTGAAATGGAAGCAAAGGGCAGAGACCATTGTCCACCACCCAGGCAGCCCACTCCTGTCCCTTCCAGTATCCACTATACAACCCCAACCAGGTTACTGAATGTGAACACAAAATACCTACAGGTAGAGGTCTTCTATGGATTTCAGTGTTATACACAATTCTGGGGTGAGGGGAGAGGTCAGGCTACGACAGAAATTTGGGAGTCTGTAGCTAATACTTACCGCCATGACACTGGATAAGATCACCAGGAAGTGATCTGAGGATAGAAAAGAGAAAAAGTCCAGGACTGGGCCCTGGGACACTCCAATGTGTAGGGACCAGAGAAATAGGAAGGAATCAACAAAGGAGACTAGAAACATTAGACCAGTGGTTCTCAACCTTCTGGCCCTTTAAATACAGTTCCTCATGTTGTGACCCAACCATAAAATTATTTTCGTTGCTACTTCATAACTGTAATGTTGCTACTGTTATGAATCGTAATGTAAATATCTGATATGCAGGATGGTCTTAGGTGACCCCTGTGAAAGGGTCGTTCAACCGCCAAAGGGGTCGTGACCCACAGGTTGAGAACCGCTGCATTAGACAGTGAGATGAAACTAAAAACAGGGTTATGGTACCCTGGACTGTAAACACTTTTTTTTTTTTTTTTTTTTTTTGTTCTTACCTATTTGCAGTGAAACTATTAGGGGCAAAGGGAGGAGGACTCAACCACATAATAGCACTAAAACCTCCAAGCCTATAGTCAGAAAAAATCACACCAAGTTTAGTCAGTAAAAATGATTAGCATTTAAAATATATTTTAATGAGAACACTTCTAACATCTTTAAATAAAAATGACTTGCACTTTTCAATCTGGAACAGTTCTGGCATTAGGGCTTAATTGCTTTCTGGTCCACGGGTTTTAGCTGCCACCGGACCACCAACTCCCCATTGCTCTTGAGGCAGGTGTGAGCCATGTCCTCCTCGGTGGGGAGTCCTTGTGGCAACTTCAGGGGCTTGATTCTTATCAAATGTTTAACCACTTTCAGTTTCGCGTTCACCGAAGGGATGTTCTTGTGAACTTGAGGAGTGTGCGCCTACAAATAAAGGGAAATAGTGTTAGAGATCAACTTCAAAAGCACAGGTGGTCCCATGCTTCAGTAAAATGAATGAAGGCTCATTCTATCTAAATCAAACTTCCAAATACATTCCACTAAATAATACATTTAAACAAAAAATATTAAGTATATTCCTTAAAGTTTAAAAAGTGCCAAATTTAAACCGTGCTAAAGATGACTAAAATCCTTGCATACCTTTTCTATTCCAAGCATCTTTACTACATCTTTTTCCCAATACGGACGGCCTTTTATACTTTTTATTCTGGTAACAATATGCAGTTTATGAGGGTGCTGTGGATCCCCACCATATTTTTCATGATCTTCTGGTGAAGGCTGAAACACCTAGAAAGAAAGAATCGTAAATGGTAAATTTTCAACTTACATAGTTTATATGTACCTCCTTTTTTCCCTAAAAAAAAACCCCCAAAAAACCCAAAACCAAAAAAACCCAAATAACAACATAATGATCTCATCCCTAATCTATAATAAAAGTATAATATGCTAATTAAACTGGACAGCTGAACGACTTTCCGGATGAAGCTGGGGTTGTGAGGGCCAAGCCCCTTGCACAAATTTTGTGTACCAAGTTATTTTATCTTTCTAAAAATAACATGTTTAAAAAAATAGTAACATTAAAACAAAGAATCCTTGTTCTTACTTTATCTGGAATTCTTGACTTGGTAAATTTATGACGAATCCAATCTGTACAAACGAGAGACTCCACACCTTTTGTCACCGTCTAAAATATAATATAAAACATTAGTTTTTTAGAACTGTCTAGTGCAGAAACCCATATCAATTTTGGGGTGACAAAAGTCTGTTTTTACCTAACCTGTAATTTTATTTATTTACTTTTTAAAATGTTTTTATTGATTTTATTCATTTATTTATTTATTTATTTTAATCCTCAGGGAAAGACAGAGAGAAATATTGGTGTGAGAGAAACGAATCGATTGTTTGCTTCCTGCACTCACCCCAACCAGGGCACGAGCCAGGGAGGAGCCTGCAACCAAGGTATGTG